GACTACAGCATCAGTAGTGTTTTACCTCAGTAGCACTGCATATATGTGTAGGACCTTATAGCACTAAGCTGACACCTACCTTGTTTCATAGTTAGAGTTAAGGACCACCCCGTCTGGCCCTTTCTGCATGGTCCCTATCCAAACCTGGTGTTTTTCTATCACATGAGGGTTCTCCAGCCTCAAAGGAAATGGACTGAAAATAAAAAACAGATATTTTAAATATTCTTTTTCTAAATATTCATTTTTACCTTTAATTCCTTTACATTTCAAGCAGAACTTTTATAGATGAAAATATGATTTGGGTTCTGATTTTCAATGTTGAGATTCACAATGTTTGTCGATGGTGTAAGATCTGGTAATGAAATAAGGAGAAGCTTTTCTGTAGCACACATTACTCAGATACACCCGACACACATCCACACACACACACATCACACACATCCAATTCATTAAACTGTTCCCTTGGTCCTGACCATGTCCTCATATATTCTATGCAAAGTAAGCTTTGATGACTCAAACTACTATTCCTCTAATACCTGTTTTCCTCCAACTACGATTTCTTTAGAATTATTAGCATCTATTTGTCAAATTGCATGTACATTGTATTAAGATTTTGTTAAACAGGTTTTTTTCTTATTCATGTTGCAGGTTTTTTTTATTAACCTTCCTTTGTCTTTTATTTACAATAGCCCTAACACAGATATATGCTATCATCAACATGCTAAGTATTAGCAGAGATGTTCTAAAATATATTGTCTCTAGTGATTGTACCAACCTCAGATTCATTGAATACCGAGTATTCCTCTAATAATCTGAATCCCATAAGTTCAAGTTTGACGTTTTCTACTGCATAATATTTACATATATGGAAATACACTTTCCTTACATCAGAAAATGATATAACACATTGGACAGTTTGTAGATCCCATAATCAAAATTTTTTTTCTGAAAAATTTTGCTTTCATCTAAAAATAAAGAAGAAATCAGAAAGCTGCATTACTGCACATTATACGGTAATCAATTCACTTGCCGATACTTACATTTGCATCTCTGCTGTAAAGGAGTTGATGGGCGACAGTGTACCACTGGTCAGGATCACATTCTTCACTCCGTGAGCCACCAGGTCCAACATGCTGTGTCCGGGGCTGAAGCACCAGTAACTCAGAGTACGACCTAGAAATCAAAAGACCATCAGTCAGTATTGGGAATTGTTTAAAATCAAACCTCTGCATTTGAATTTTCACATTTTTACATCCATTGTCTTGCTATCAAGTAATTGCATAGTATTTTTTTTTTTTAAATTTGATGCTCAAAAAATACCTGATATATGGTATATATAGTATACCCAGAAACTTTCACCAGTCAAACATTTGTCTTTCTCTGATCAGATCCGTATAATATTAATAGCAACCAAAACAAATTTTCTCTGATTACATTTGGTGTTATAGGCAAAAGTTTAACTATGGCGAATCTTTCCCAGTACACAATAAAAACAATTTTCAGTACCAGGGGCGTCACAATAAAGGTCTGGCATACCACGATGTATTGTGATACAGAAGATTATAAAAATCTAGTGCAGGCGATACCATAATGCAACAAGTTAATTCACCATTCCTGTAAGAACCCTAGCTGTGTACGTAGCAGAGACTTAGTTCAGTGTATCAATATATCGCAATGTTATTGTGGCAGCAAGAATCTAAACAAGAGGCCCAGAGGGCCTGTATCGCTCACCTTAATATTTAAGCAGTCATAGCAA